TATCATCCTTGACACCTGGTCACTCTGTCTATGGCTGATGGGAACTGGAATCCAACAACGCTTGGAGGATCACAGATTCCCTGCACCTGCACTGGACTCCACCCCTTCTAGGTGGAAGATCCAAATCTTCAGTTCCTAGCTCTCGCCTTGCCTCTTGTCATGACAGCCTCTCCCTAAGCTAGGCATAGAACATTTTGACGCAGGACAGAAGGGCTGCCCTGTGAGCTAAACAGGACAAGTTCCTGTAAATTTCACCCTCAGGAATGTCAGCCCGGGAATCAAGGTGTGGAGTGACGCATAACTACTGCCAGCATCACTCTGATATTTACTTGTCCTCTCCATGCATACATTTACCAACCATGCCCAAGCCTACCTCATCCACCTGTGTGCATATTTGTGTACCTGCCCTTCCCAATTATAGCACCCTGTGTAGGAAGTTTCCATTCCAGAGTAGAGGAGCACCATCAGGGCACTGGGGGACAGGTGGCTTTGGCACCAACAGAGGCTTGTTGTAAAGCCAGATAAGGGAGTAGATGGCTGGAAAGAACTGATCTGTTATTATAGGACTATGCAGACACATCAGCTCCCCCAGACCTGGAGCCATCCTAATTATTCCCAGCCAACATGCTCAATACTTTGCAATCTAAATTTCGGTCAGTTACAGCCCCCTGACAGACAAAGGCTGCTGTAAGCCTCCCTGTCTCTCAACCTGCACTCTCCTCCCAGTTGCAATATGAACATACTGACTAAATAACTAGTCACAGTGGGTTTTGTATTGTCTGAACCCAAAGTGTGGCTTATTTTCAGGGTTATAACAACACATGACTTATTCCTTAGACTGTTCAACCTACAGTGGATAGATGTGTTGTCTGAACCAAGGAACCTACTTTTCTCGCCCTTTACTGACCTTCAATTGACAGCTTGGCAACTGTTTGCAAATGAGCCTATGCGCAAATAGTCTGTGAGTTTGTGTTCTTTTGTTCTGCAAAGAACCCACAGTGCATAGCTTATTTTGGGGGTGGCTTTGGATCAAGCGCGTCTGCTCAATAAGTGACTGCCATCCTGTGCATATTTATCATTTATTACATTTCTGTAACAGCCAATAGCCAAAGTCTTCTAGGCGGTTCGCAGCAAGTCAAACAACATAAGGTAGACCATAAATGTTTATAACATTGTAAAATTGAAATAAAATGCAAAGAGAAACCTAGTAGTGGTGCAAAGATTAAAATGCAGTAACACATTCTAAAACAGATTTAAAGTAAAACTGAAAGACTGTGACGACAAGGACAATAGGAAGGTCTTCTCCTGGTGCTGGAAAGAGCACAAGACTCCCTCTGGGAAGTTCATTCCACAACAGGAGCCTGCAAGAGAAAGGCTTTCTTGCTGGTTACGACTGGGACTCATTTATGAGTTAACATGTTTGGATTGTACAATACACTGCAGGGTTGTTTTCAGGACTACAGAAACAACGTATGTTTGGTGTGAAAGAAGGAAAGAGAGGTGCCTAACTCTTGGCAGTGTAGATGGAGACAAACGTCTGCTTGAACACCAGCCCAGCCAGGTAGTTAACCAGCATTCCTGACATCCAACTCAGTCTGGGTCAGGGGACTCAGACCTGACAGGACTCCCATGAGGCTGGTGAGAGAAGAGTCCAGGCTTGCACTCTCCATTCAAAGCCCTGGGCCTGAAACCTTAACCAGCAATAGCTGGGTGGAAAGTGCTGGACCTAGGACTGCAGCTAATTGGAATAAAACACAGTGATAAGTTTATCACTGGGCAGGGACCAACATACAAAAGAACCATGTTTGGAAACAATGCTTACAAGGCAAAACAACAAAAACTGATGGAACCAAGTGGCCTTTTCCTCTATCTTACCAGTCTGGGGATTTGGGTAAGGCAGGGAAAGGAGGGTTGCCGAGGTGAACGACTGGCTTAGGGTGTGGTGCCAGAAGGAACACTTCAGGTTCCTTGACCATGGCACCCGGTTTCTTGCCAATGGACCTCTGGCAAGGGATGGGTTGCACCTCACAAGGATGGGGAAAAGGTCCTTCAGAAATGCTCTAGCGAGCTTTGTCCAGAAGACTTTAAAAATGAGTCAGGGGTGGGTGGGTTCAGGCCCCCCAGAAACTTGTCCTGATTGGACAAGTGAGGGGAGAGGATCAGGGCTCTGGGACCAGGGTGTTAGAGGCACTGCAGGGGTTGACAGGACTCCTACGAAAAGGCAGGGCAAAACAAACACAGGCAATGAATGCAGGCATCTTCCTGCACCTGCGTTTCTGAAGCCTTTAGCAAATCTGAGGTGATACCTGCTATCCTATCCTGAGCTCATGGGAATTAATCTTCCTCAGCATTTTGGGAGGCAGAAAGCATCCACAGACGCACAGCTTAACTTATGTAGCCCTGTAAGCAAGGCACCTTCTGAGGCCTGTGAAGCCATTGACGGGATGAGAGGACACCTGTTGGTGAAGATTTTGTCTTCTCTCTCTGGACAAAGACAGGGTTAAAGAGAATGTGTAGGTGAGCTGCTCCTAGATAAGAGAGAACAAGAAGGAACCAGGCCAAGGATGAGTGTTTGAGCTGCATCTTGGAAGAGTTGTCCTTAGATAAGGTATGAACAGAGGGAGGAAAACTCCCAGCCTCAGGAGGGGATTGGGCCTCTGAGAAAGTTGTCAGAGGATGAGGCAAACTATAAAAATTTTGTTCTAATTGTGCTTGGTGCAGTCTCAAGGCGTTCTCCCTTACCTATGCTGTATTCTTAATGAATATTGTTGGTTGTTTTTGTTCAATATGTTTGGCCTGTTTCATGCAGGATTGTCACGAGAAGAAAAGGAAGGATATAAATAAAATGCAAGGATGATAGTAGTGGTAGTAGTAGTCATAGTTATTACTAACAAATTCTATAGGCCATCTGTATCAGCCCTGTTACAAGAGAAACCACCAAGTGTCTTGTAGGATTGTGTGATGGCACATTGTTGCATTTTCACATATCTGACAAAGTGCGCTGTTGGGAAATGTGCAGCCCTCCAGATGTTTTGGCTATACCTGCCACGATCCCTGCTTACTGGCTATGCTGGCTAGGTCTGATGGGAGCCAAAGGCCAAAACATCTGGAGGACCACAAGTTGCCCAACCCTCCTCTAGGCTATGAAAGCTTCATCACAGTTGATCAACAGCAGTGCAAGTCTACACAGGGCTATTCAGAATTAAGCCTCACTGAATTTAACAGGGCATATATTCAGAGAAGTATATGTAGGGCTTCCATGGGGTTCTTACAAGGTGGGGCAGTATATTTTTAGGATACTATAATTTTGAGTATAAGACAGTTCTACACATTTGGGATGACTTGCTTATTGTAGGGTGCATGTGCCCAGTTCCTTGTTCATTTCTACTGACAGGAAATCTCTCTACAGGACCAGACAGAACGAATGTTCAGATTCACACAAAAGCATTATGCTCAGTCTCAGCAGTTTATTGGGAATAGCCAGGAAACCCTTCTCTGACAGAGAAAAACATTATACTGGGTAGTCAGTATATAGAAACAGGAAACAGGGCATGTGCAGAGTGTTTTAAGGAGTAGGAGTTACATATGCTTTTGCAGGGAGGGGGATGAGACCTTGAATGAGCAAAATGCAAGAACAATAGAAAGACAAAAGGAAAATACAGAAATTGAGAAACCATTACATCATGATGTATCAAGATAAAACAACCAGGATTTAACCAGCTCAATGTTTGCTTTTTAAGGTCTCAGGTAGGAAATTCAGACAGACACTGACCAGCTGGCCCACTATTTGAATATTCAATCTAGTTGCATTGTATCATCCCCCTTGTGGCTGTGCTCTGCATTTGAGAGCGATATGCCAATCATTGCATATCAGGTGTCGGGCTCCTTTTCCCACAGAAGGAAACTGAATGGGAAAACCCTGCAGAATGGAGGGGGAGAGGAAGGGGAACAGGCAGTTTTCCATATGCTAAAGTATAAAACTTATAACTTTTATTAGGGCAATTCCTACATTACCTAGATTAGCCATCAACAGTATGGGGGCACCACGCTTGGCTCTGACCTGTGCCCAACTGTGCCAGAAGATTATGGCATGTCTGTACACATCAGCAGGGGCTGGCATTGCTGCAGAAAAAGGAATTTACAAGATTAGGTTTAGAATTAGTATGGTGAGGTGTTTTCATGATTATTGTGCCGATAATAAAAATACATAAATGACTGTATTAAATGTTTGAAGTTTAGAGATGGGCAATGTGTGGCCCTCCAGATGTTGTGACCCACTACTCCCATGAGCCCCAGCCAGTCTAGACTGTGCCAGAGGGGCAGGGCTAGACACAGCTGCATAATGGGGTACATGACATTGACTCTTAAGAGCAACAGTTGCCCTTCCTTGGCCTAGGTGTTTGAAAACCTAGTTTCAGTTGAAGCCAGTAATCAACTTTGTGCCACTTTCCAGGCAATCTGGGATTGATGGGAGTTGCAGTCCACAATATTTGGAGGGCACCAAGTGTGGGGTGCCTGCTAGAAGTAAAAACATTTGCCCTGTCAAGTAATTTTTAGTTTTCAGATGTTTCCAACAAAGAAAAAAACTGTAGCACTGGGTTAGCTGCTGAAAAATTTAGTATGTTTTTTTATAAAAGTCTCATTGTTCTGCCGGAAAATGATTTATTTTGCAATTTTTTCGAAGTTCGACCTTATTTTTCCGAGAATATTGACTTCCATCGACTTGCCCGAAGACGTATTGCTGCTCTTTTGCCTCTAGAAAAAGCGTCAAGCTAAGAGTCCACATAAACCCGGAAGAAATCAATGAGTGTCAGTCTATTCATGAGTCTATAATGAGTCCCCTACTTCGCTATAGCCTCACCTTCTTCCGCTATGCTTTTGGCGCTCTAGGAATTGAATATTCTATGGACCAAATACTTTTTGCTTGTTCTTACGCGCGCTGTCTTGTATTCGTTTCCATCTCTATGACTACCAACACTTTCTCCGGAAGCGGAAGTCGGTTGGCAACTAGGATGCGGAAGCGTCGGCTGCAGCGGGGAAGCTCGGTTGCCCAGCAGTTGCCACCATGGCAGCGGCTGGGGGCCCAGGAACCGACGGCGGGAGTCCCGTGGCTGGAGGAGGTGAGAAATGGAGGGAGCGGGGACGCCGCATTTACTCCCTGCAATCTGCATTGGAGCCGGGTCAGGAAAAAACTCTCCGTGCTGGGAAGGAACTTGGGGAGGGGGGTGAATAAGGCTTTACCTGTCTGATTGCCAAACTCTCAATACTTATAAGTGGGCACACTTCTGTTTCCTTCCTCGCCGCTGCACCTTCATCCAGGCATCGCGTTGTTTCCTCCCTTCTCGGGAGGTGTGTTAGGGCTCTGTGCCCGTTACAGCCAGCTTTGTAACGGTGCTTGTATTTTAGCATGTGTATCAGGTGAGCCGCCAGGGAACTATGCTGGGTGTATAGCAGGTAGAGAGAAAGTCCATTGAGAGCCAGTGTGGGGGTGGTGGTTAAGAACGCGGGACTGGGATTCAGGTTATCTGGGTTCTAGTCCCCGCTCAGCCATGGAACTAACTGGGTGTTGGGCCAGTCACAGACATTCAGCAACCTATCTCATGTTGTTGTTGTTGTGGGGACAAGATTGAGAGCAGGAAGAGGAGAATGATGTGAGCTGCTGTTAGTTCTTTTAAAAAAAGAAAAGTGGGATATAAATCTAATAAAATCATGGTTGTTTCAATTGGGATCCTTGATGCTGCAGTGATACAGCTCTGGATTCCTGTATGAAAGCCTGCCTCCTCACTCTAGAACCACTGTTATGTGCCCCCTTAATTTTGCAAAAATGATTAACAAAATGTAAAGGAGAAATTTTAAATAGCTTTGATGAGCCATGTTTGTGGTAATCTTTAGTATAGTTAATGGTTACTGTATACAGCATTGTTATTAAAATGATGACACCCTTCTCAAATCAAAATTTGGTTTACAGTCACAGACCCATCAAAAGATAAAGCTGATCATGCAGTGATAGCTGCTAGCTTAAACACACAATGTAGTTGAGAGATAGGTCTGCCAATTGGTATTTGTCACAGTGGCTAAGAGAAGAGTTTGTATTTTCTGAGGTAGTATAACCTCTGATGTAGATAACTATTAGGAGATCATGGTTATCACCATGCTGCCATATAGATTTCCCAGTGTGCTTGACCAGCAGCTGTTGATGGACTTTAATCTTTTAAATGACACAATGAGGCTGCTTAATATCAGCTTCTGCAATCCAAGGGTAGGTAAATATCAGAACTTGTGTGGAAAAAGTGCCCTGGCAAAATTGTAGAGATGGAAACAGAATCCTGTCTTTGAGTTGGAGAATGCCTGCAGAGTTGTCTGCTCCAAGCCTGTTTTCTATTTGCAGTGGTCATCTTGCTGCCTTACTCTCTGTTCCAGGAAACAAGTGGCTGCTGTTCCTAGGAATGGAATGTAGTATAGCAAGATGTTGCTGCCATTTGTCTGTCTCCACTTTCTGTTTGCCTGGCATTTAAAATGGCAACTGCATGTTTCCAGAACCAAGCAGAACAGGATGCTAGCTCTTGCAAAGATCCTGTTTAAACATCAGTACAGTTGGGTAGAAAGTCTTTTCTACGTCACTGGAATTCTCAAACATGATTTAGTAGATATGAAAGATTATAGCTCAGTCCAGGTGTTTAGCATAATCTCTTGTGTAATTCCAGTTGCCAGTTAGAATGGGGAGAAGCTTTTTAATGAGCACCCAGTAGCAGGTGGTCCAGAAATATACACACTCTCACTAATGTTATTTTCACTTCATTCCAAAAAACCTCAATGTTTGTGGTCATGTTTGTTGCATGTACACTGCATGTCTGATCTCAAACAGAAGTGTGGTATGCTATAACTGTACTATCCTGGTCAGCAGCTAATTGTATGGGAGCCCACTTTCAGAGAACATGAAGCTTGGTAGGTTTGGTTCCCACAACCTCTTTGTCACCACTCTGTCTCTGGCTTGGCAATGCAGGGGAGGGGATGAAGCCACTCATACTTGGAGCTAAGATTGAATTGAATCCAGTTGCTGGTGTCTGTCTTAATGGCTTCTTGATGCTTGAACCCTGCTGAAACCATTGTGCAAGTATTTCCATTTTATTCCTTATTCATTCCCCCTCCCCCTCCCGTTGCTGGACAAGGTGATCTTTCCACAGATAATACCTCTGTCTTGATCCTTTTGTTCGAAACAAACTGCAGTGTGCCTCTGAAGGATGAGATGCTTGGTTAATTCCTACTCTTCTTTCCTCAGGTAACCGACAGTTAAAGTACATCAGCTTAGCTGTCTTGGTGGTGCAGAATGCCTCACTCATCCTCAGTATCCGCTATGTGCGCACGCTTCCTGGCGACCGATTCTTTGCCACTTCAGCTGTGGTCATGGCTGAGATTCTCAAGGGAGTCACCTGCCTGCTGCTCATCTTTGTTCAGAAGCAAGGTAAGGATGCTGTGCTTCTGGGAACTGAGAGCCTCCTAAGAACACACAATCCTCTGTGCATTGTTATGTGTTCCATTTTGTTGCTGGTTAGATCTCTGAAGTGGTCCTTTCTGAGATCTAGTTTGAAAAACTGTGCATTGGGCCATTTCTTTAAATTAGTGCTGTTTATTTGGACTTGGTTCACAGTGATCTGAATGCTTGATAAAAAAATCAAGCATTCAGGAAAAAAATTTCTATCGGAATTTAAAAATTTAAGCCATACTGAAATAAATAGGTCTCAGGTTTAAAACAAGTCTTTGCTGGCTCAGCATACCAACTTGCTTATAGAACTAACAAAAATTCCTTTATAACTGAGTGGAAGAAAATTTGCAAGGGATTTCCCTGTCCCCTTATGAATCTCAACAGCTTTTTCTGAGTCTCAGAAATTACTTTCATGCTCATTGCCCAGTGTAAGCAGTAGCAGCAGCTCTGTTCATCTGCTTTGTTTCCTGTGCGTTAACCAAGACATGGGCAGGCAGGAGTGAGCGCTTGAGGTGTGTAATGATGAGAGGGCTCTTCCATTGCTGTTCATACTAGAAAGGAAAGGGTTAAAGAGCCCCCTGAGAGAGGTGTTTGTGGATGCTCTGCTGAGCCATTGTTGCTAGTCCTTCTCACCCTTTCCCAATTAAAAGTATGGCCCTTGTTCAAAATTAGTTGCCAATGTTGGCTGTGTGTCTGTTGCTTTCTCCCCTTCCAGGTAACTTGAAACAGTTCGCTGCTTCCCTGTATGACTCCATTGTGGTGCAGTACATGGACACTCTCAAGCTAGCAGTGCCTTCTCTCATTTATACCCTCCAAAACAACCTCCAGTATGTGGCCATCTCCAACCTGCCTGCAGCCACCTTTCAGGTGAGACAGCAGCTCCGGGACTATGCTTCTAAGAGTGCCTACCCAAGCACTCTTACACATATCTATGCAAAGGATTTGTGTGTGTCCTGCTTTTGCATACTGAATTCCGCACTAATAGGTGCGAGCGTACCTTCCTTTCCCCCAGCGCAATTATCAAATGAAGGGTATCAAAAGTGTGCTCCACTAATTCCTTAATACTTCTGTAGCAGGAGATGTCCCAAAATGTCCTCTGCTACGTCTTCCACACTTACTGTTTTTCTTCACAAACCTTACACTGACAACACACCCCTATCCCTGCACCGGAAGTATTTTCAAGAAGAGATTTGTTCATCAGAGAGGAAGGACTTGCCCTTTTCTCTGGGCAGAGAAACCCTGGGAAGGATTGATGCCAACTCTCTTGACAACATCAGTTTAGGGCAGAGATATGTAGAGAGATATGTACAGAGGCAGGAGTAGTCTGTACCCAGAGAATATGTAAATTAAGCAAATCACCCCATTTGCTTGCTGTGCATGGTTCTGTAACATTTAAACTATTTTGCATAATTTATTTTGGTTCTGCTAGTTGGGGAAAGAGCAAGCTGCCCTCCTAGGTTCTGAGACTTCGGCAGGTATTGTCCACATTCTCCATCAAAAGGATTTAGACATGTGTTCCCTTTGTTAAAATGAAAGCTGAGCTTATCCTTTGGTGCCCCCTCCACATTTCTCCACTTCTGTGGAATCATGGCATGTACGCAGTCTTGGGTGCATGCATCTCATCCTCTGCTGCTTCGTTTGTCTCTTCCCCCCCAATTCTCCTGGGTGAGGTTCAGGGGTTAAAGTGTGTGTGTTCTGGATTATTGACTCAGTGCAACACCATTGGAGAGCTTATCCGAGTCTGGCACATGGAGAACTAGATGTGCTCTGAAATGGGGTTGGGGTTCTAGGCTGCACTTCCTGGCACAGTTGCCCATTTCCAGTGGCAAGGAGTGAACCTGCAGTGGGGGGCAGTTAGAGCCGACGCTGTGGTCCACTCTGGCTGGCAGCTGTCCTGTCATGTAGCATGAGGGGTGCTTAATAACTGCATTGCCTTTCTCAGGTCACCTACCAACTGAAGATCCTCACCACAGCAGTCTTCTCTGTGCTGATGCTCCGCAAGAGCCTCTCCCGTCTCCAGTGGCTGTCCCTTGTGCTCCTTTTTGCCGGCGTAGCCATTGTCCAGGTGGAGCAACAGCAGGCAGGGGGCAAGCCAGCCCCTGGGGGCGAGGGAATGCAGCAAAGCTACCTTGTGGGGCTTGTGGCAGTGGTGGTATCATGCCTCTCGTCTGGTTTTGCTGGGGTCTATTTTGAAAAGATCCTCAAGGGCAGTGCTGCCTCGGTCTGGCTACGCAACGTCCAGCTGGGCATCTTCGGGACCTTGCTGGGGCTGCTGGGCATGTGGTCTGCAGATGGGGCAGCCGTGGCTCAGCATGGATTCTTCTTCGGCTACTCCCCACTGGTGTGGGGAGTGATTCTGAACCAGGCCTTTGGTGGCCTCCTGGTGGCTGTAGTTGTGAAATATGCTGACAACATCCTCAAGGGCTTTGCCACGTCCTTCTCGATTGTGGTGTCCACCGTGGCCTCCATCTACCTCTTTGACTTCCACCTCAACCTGCTCTTTGCTCTAGGGGCAGGGCTGGTCATAAGTGCAGTCTATCTATACAGCTTGCCCAAGGGATCTTTGGCCAGTCGGTCCTTGGTGGGGACAGCTGCACACCAGCAGGGTCATGCTGCACAAAGCAAGGAACTTCCTTCTGTGACTACAGACGACTTCCTGTCCAAGTCAGTGCTGGGCAATTGAGAAGAACTGACCACACCCTTCATAGCTGTCTGCCGTTTCTTCCACCACAGTGCAATTTCCACCTTGTTGACCTCTGGTTCTTCCCTGCCCCACAGTCATCTCTGCTCCTTCCTCTCCCTGTCATCTCCTTACCCCATTTTTCTTGCATATTCTCTCCTTTTCCCATCCCTACTCATTCTGTACCCCTTTGACATTAATTGGCCTCCTTTTGTTGGCTGGCAACACAGTGTATAACTCACCCCCCCACCCCAGACCTGCTTCCGTCATTGCCTACTCAAGTTGTCCACCTTCTCTCTGACTCTTACAATTTCTGTCTCTTTCTTCACTATCCCTGTTTAGGAACAGTCCCATTCCCAGCCGAAGCAGCTAAGGGGCCAGGCTGCTTTGGGATCACCTTTCCCTTTGCCCTGAGACCCATAAAGCTCCCTCTTCTTTGGTCAGCAGGGAGAAAATTTACCAAGAAGTGTATTTTTATATGAACACTTTGAATGATGAAGCAGATACCGTTGCAGAAGGAGGGTGCACTTGTTGCCATGGAGATTCTCAGCTGTACATAAGCAAAGATGGGTGGAAGGAGAACTCATCTGCCATCTTGGAGCATACACATGTCCTTTTTTGTTTGTTTTTGTTTTGTTTTGTTTTTTAAATGCACCTTTCTGGAAGCGTTAGGAATTTTCTTGTTACCAACTCGTCACTAAGGATTTGTCAAATCTATCTACCATGGCAGATGGCCATTCAAAGAGAAGAGTTTTGAATGTGGAGTGGGACTGTGTGCTAGAAGCAGGCTGATGTGAAGAATTGTGTGTGACGTGAGGGAGAGAATGGGACCGTGGTCTAGGGAAGTGGGTAGTGAGAGAGCAGACATCTGGGAGTCCTGGTTCAGTTCTGTCCCTAGTTCATAGATCATATGAGGTCATAGTGGGATGTATTCTAAGCATACCTAGTTCTTTCCTGCCCTCAGGATGTTCTTTGGTGCCTATAGCATTTTGAGAACTGCTGGGCAAAGGGGTGAGGGGTACGAATCTCTTGTTACTAATTAAGATTTCAGTGCGGGGTTGAGGAAGATATTGTAGAACTAAATTGTAAGCTGATTGTTTTATTTAATATAAGGGAAACATTTGGCTTGAAATGGCAACAGGATCTTCGCGGGAGGGGCACCAGGTATGGGCAAGGTATAAGCAAACAGATTTGCATCACGTGAAGATCCTAATGAGGCAGGAAATCTTGACACAATCCTTTGCTGCTGCTGCTGCTGCTGAATTGGGGTACTTCAAAACCACGAGATGAATGCTTGCTTGGCTGTCCCTCCAAATCAAATGGCACCCTCGGGGGTATCAGGAAGCTGCAAGCCAGTACTGTAATGTTTTTCATATACATTGCAGGGTGGAAATGACAGAGGAAGCATTGCTTGAACTGCCAGCAGGGTTCCTTACCAGGCAGCAACCCACAGGAGCCATGCACAATGGCGCACTGCAGTGAATGCGCCCGCAAATTGCCCCTGGGGAGGGGTTTGCAAATCTCCCCAGCACTGTCGTTCTATGAAGGCAGTTAATGCAGGAGCCCCCGTGTGAGTTGTCGTGTGTGTTACAGGTCATGAGCTGTACAGGCTTGAGTCTAAAGGGGAAGGGCAGGCTCTGTGGTGAGGGCGGGGGCAGTGCCCATCTTTGTGCCTCCGTTTGTCTGATCATGGCAGGGTGAAGGTCAGTAGTTGGTCTGCTTTTCTCAAAATCATGGAGTATTCTTTGCTGACTTGGGCTGTGTGTTGTGCGGAGCGGAGGGGCACTAACACTTGAGAGGAGCTTTGGAATTTAGGAATGCAAGCTGCATTTTGTGTTGGGAATGGGTTGGAAGTTAATCAAAAGTAACATGGGGCATGTATGTATATAAATATACAGTTTTTAGATCACTGATCATTTTCTATGAATCCTGCTTTTTTAAGGGAAAAAAAAGAAAGCCTGTACTGTTTGCCAATGTACATAAACCACAGATTAATAAAGAGAGTGTATTTATTTAGCCTTATTGCTTAATGATTGAGGAAGCCTTGAAAAGGGCAGGCTTTTGCCTCATTCACTGCATGTCTAACACCTATTAACATGGGGAGGTGGCTGGGTTGTTGTGCGAGTGGGGTGCTTTCCTTTCTTGGGAGTTTCAGTTCAAGGTAGGCAGGAAGGGAGACAGGGCCTGATGCTGAGCCAAACCCCAAATTAGACTCTCTTCTGAATTCATGGGTTTATCTTTGCAGCACAAACATAATTATAAGTCACTGCTACCTAGGTTCCTTCATCAGACAAGGTACCAAGGGTTGGGATTAGGGATAAATAGGGCTGTCAACTGATTCAATACATCCAGAATAATTATTTTTCAATGAAACCGGATTTCATTTCCTATTAAAGAATTGTTCTGAATGGGGAAAGGCAGGATGGTGCATTTGTGTAGTGCAGCAGACTCCATCTTAGAAGAGACATGTGATATGTGGGAGAACAGAAGGTAGGCCTTTTCTAAGATGGGGCATGTACTTCTATTAAAAACCATTTTAAAAGCCTGCCTGGCCAGCTGGGGGCACTCTTAATTAAGGTGTATATAATTGTAGCCCTGTGGCAGAGGATCGTAAAACAACGTTTTATTTAAAAACATAAGCAACATTTTATTTTAAAAAATTTCAGGAGCACAATACAGTGTTCCAGAACCATGAGCTGCTGCCTCATTCACACAACAGTTGATTATTAGGTAAGTCAGATCATGTACTGTGCCCAGGCCCAGAGATGGAAGTGCTTACATGCTTCCTGCATTTGTCCTGATTAGTCCTTTTAACTAAGGGCACATCCTATTTCTTGGTCCCTCTTCTTGGTAAAGAACTTGACCCTATTTTATTCCTTGGCAAGATCCAAGGAGTACCTTTTAAAATCTTGTTTAAAAATGATTATATATGTATGTAGTAAATTTTTCTCATATTTCTCCTCAGCTGTCAAGATGGGAAGGAAATGGTTCTACTTAAAAATTGCAATGTGGTGGGGAGAAACTTTAGCTAAGTTTTACGAGAGAGGAAAGGAAGAAACTGGTAGATCCTTGATATAAAAACCCAGCTGAGTTACAAAGCAATCCCGTTATAACTTGTGAAACAGTGGAGATGTTACAGAGAGCTCAACCTAAGGCCAATGTGGTGGGGTCTGTCAGAGTGTCGGGATGCAAAGCACACACTTTCCTGGCCCCAGCATGATATTCTTGACTCTGCCACTTCAAGCTACAGGCAGCAGAATGGCATGATTGACCATTGCTCTTTATGGTATGGACTCCCTGCATGTAGAAAACAGGGTGTCAGTTGTAGCCTAGCCGCTTAGTGGAGAAGGGCTGTAGTTCACCTATAGGGCATGTGTTTTGCTTGTCCAAGGCCCCAGCTTCAGTCCCTGCTTTCAACTACGTAGGGCTGTGAAAAGCCCCATCTGAAATTTTGGAGAGCTGCTGCCACTGAAGACAATCTGGAGTGAGCTGGTCTGACTTGGTATGAAGCCACTTCCCAGGTTCCTCAGAACACTTTTTGTTTATATCAGATTTAAGAAAAAAATGTCATCTAAGTAGCAAAATCAGATATAAAACAACCCAAGCGGCAGACTACCAAACCATTTCCTCTTTTGTGTGGTCTAAGCCTTGTGCAATGAATAGATTTATGTTAGTTCACTTCATAGCAGCCTGTCCAGGCTACCTGCTTCAGCTGGAAAAAGACAAGAGCAGAATAGGTGTCTGAGCCCAAGCCAGCTTCTATTTTGGAGGGTGGCAGGGGGGAGGAGAGAAGATAATATGACAAGCATAGATATTCGAAATTGCTGCTCTTATTACCAATTACAGGAAGATGACAACATCTTGTGCCCTGTTCTCCAACCTTTTTCAGGATGAGTTTTGCTACTAACCATGATGTTAAAATAGATTGCACACATATCTAATCCAGTCCTCAAGCATCCCTATGCTATCTGTAATATTTCTGGGTTTTCAAGAGTTCTTTTATCTGACTTCAGAGATGCATGCATTTCAATTACAATAGTGTGCCATACATTGCAGCTGCTTGTGTATTATTTGATGCCATTGTGAGCTCAAGTTTTAAGTAAGTTTCTAGCCCTCCTGATGGAGGCCAAAGCCTGGAAGTGTTCAACAAACAAGTTCTGATGAAAGCTTAGGAGCTGAAGGAGAGTTCCTTGGCCCACCCAAACCTGGTAGTTCAAAGCACCTGAAGGCAGCAACTCCTATCAGTCTCAACAAGCATGGCCAACTGATGGGAGTTGTAGTCTAAAACCAATGGAGGATGCTAGGCTTGGGAAATTTATGTATCCTTGATGTCCATCTAGATCTCCATTCTCTTTCCTTCTCATAGCTAATGCTAGCCTTACCTAACCTTACAATCCTGTGCATGTCTACTCAGAAGTGAATCCCACTGAATTCAGTGGGGCTTACTCCCAGACATGTGGGGATAGAATTGCAGCCTGAGCCCCAAGTTCTTTTGAAAGGTTCAGTCTCAAGGTCAGAATAAATTCTGCAAGCAAGGCAAATGCCTACTGATACATCTTGGGCGCAGAATTAAGCCTTCTGCTTTGAAATCCATAGATGCACACAATCCTGTCCCAAGGTCCAGAAACAGTTTGCCATGGTACAATTAGTTAATAATTTCCCTGGTACTCTTGGTTGTGCATATTCTGTGGACTTCCACAACTCCTGTGTGTAAGAACAAACATGGTTACTGGGTGCAGAATCCACTGTCCAAAGAATTGTAGCTGACTATGACAAGTAAAGGGCTACTTTTTGATTGCTAAAGGTCTGAAGGATGCAGGAGAAACCTTGTGAAGTTGCAAAAGCAGAAAGTGAGCTTGGCAGAATTTTTGACAATCCATGCAACTTTACTGGCTTTGGCCTCCAATTACTTTTCCATAAGACTTAATAGCCAAAGTTTGAACAAAGCATGAAAATAAGCAAAGCTGTGCACATTTGGTTAATTGGAATATTTATTTTGGTCTTCATAAATGTTCTCTCTCTGCTTTAAAGATGTTTGTGGTGCTTTTAAAACAGGACCTTAATTTAAAAGTTGCTGACTTAATTGATGATCTAGAGGCTGCAGAATTGATTTTGTTTAGCTCAGGAATATTCTGATCTGTCCCGGGTGATACTAGCCTGTTTGCATTCCCTGCTTATCTCTGTTTGGATTCTATGGGCTGTAGATTAACAACCGAAGATTTTCTAGGTCTACTTTAGCTCCCCTTGCCAAGCTAGAGGTGAAAATGCAGGGATGCCTTCTCATATGGATTCTTGTTTGCCTTAAGAGGGCAGGCATTGTGTAGGATCTTGCTGGGATAGGAGGGCCTTCTGGATGTCAAACTGGAGCTGAATTGGCAGCCTGTTTTAGCAACTTTTTCCAAGCAGACTCTCATCCTTTTCTGTCTGAGACTGAGATCACACTGCCAATGTACAGTCTATTTTACTTCCTGTCTTCAGAGGCTCACATTTGAGTGCTGGTAGATTAAAAGAAAATACTGCTGAAAAATTGTATATGCCCTCCTTGCAAGGTGGTGTGGATACTAGTGAAGCAAGTGTCTGCCTTGGCCCTCCTGAACAGAAACAGGCTGCTATAGAGAAGGGGGCAACTTGGGATACAGCGGTTATTTTGATCCACGGTGCCATAATCACTTGCCACTGGTTATACTGCAGAAGCTGATGAGAGTGGTAGGTGAAAACAGCTGCAAGGTCATAAGTCCTTTTCAGATGCATCTGCCCCTATATTCACTCACACAATCCAAAGCAATACAGCACAGCTGCCATTTTTGTAGCTAGGAAGGAATGCTTGAACAATCAGCACCTACTTTACTGACCAAATGTAACACAGACTAATCCAGCCATTGCTAGACTCCATATACTTTATATGCAGCCTGCCTTGTCTCTAACCATTGGCCCTGCTGAGTGGGATGGATGGGAGAAGTAGTCTAAACCAACTGAAGAGCATCAGGTTGGATGAAACTGCAGCTTGTTTGGAGCACATATCTGAGCTGTTCCACACATTAAGAGAATGAGCTAGCAGATTTGCATATTGTGCTGATTCCAGTCTGTCTGGGTTCCCAGCTGAGGGATGCACATTTTTGTTAATGCAGTCTTATAGGAATTCCAACAACAAGCACAGCGAGGACAGCCATTAGAAACATAGAGAATTAGAAACAGTGAGTCAGAAGAGGGCTCCTGGGCCATCTAGTCTGACCCCCCAGCTCCAGCCGGCTCCACTCATGACATGCCTACCATGTGCTTTTTCCCTTAATGTTCAAGTTTTCTTCTTGTCGGGGCTTATTACATGGAATAGTAATTCAAAAATTTCATTCCACATTTTGCAGTCTGAAGCTTTTCTAGAACTGGCAAGTGGGAGAAAAAGGGGAGATAAGGAGTGCAACGTTGCAGACATCAGTATCCTAGACACTGACTGCATCATAGCTGCCTTGTCAAAGAAGCCTTGCAGTACTAGTTTGGTATGTCTATGCCAGTAACCTGGGCAGGTAAGAAGCAATATATGGAAATGCGAAGATACCATGTTGCACAAGGCACTGGATAACACCCCCCGCTTTTCCCAACCTGGTGCCCTCCCACAGCTCCCAGCATTCTGAGACCAGGATGGTATCTGTGAGGGTTGCTTTAGACCGAAGGAGAATGACTTACTGATGAACAGGGATTTGATTGCAGAACATCACCAAGGAAGGAGAACCTGTGGTCCTTCAGATGTTGATGTTTTCTATTACCTTCAGCATCATCCACCAGCATCTCCTGATTTCATCTGAGTTACTACTAACCCTCAAGATTATGTAAAAGCTTTTGTATGGTGGGAAAAGCCTGGTGAAACCGAAAAATTAGGCAGTTTGAGTAGCCTTCTGTAGGAGAGCATGAACTTTTCTATTCCCATGTAGGGCTCCCAAATAGTGCTGAAATCTATTACCTGCAATCCATATCTGCACTGTACAAACACTGCATGTGTTTGCCTCTGTTGCATAATGCACTCTGTTTCTTGTAGCCATGGAAAGGAACTGAAACCTTGCTCAAATCTTGCTCAGGACCTGTTGTTGCACTTGAAATTTTGCTACCAGGCAGTGCATTGGCTACACAGTGGGTTGGATCCAGACTCACTTCATATTTAGAGTAGACCCAGTGAAATTAGTGGAAGTTTTTAGTCATAATTTTAGTAGGACTATATTAAGTATGATTAAATCTGGATCCAATCCATTGTAAAGCCTCTCCTTGCAGCCCTAAGGACTTGAAACTTGCTTCTTCTGTTCTTCTTCTTTTTTTTTTTTTTTTAATGAAAACAGACTTGAGAGTACTGCATTTTCTGCTCAGTATCAAATTCTGCAAGCACAGAATAACATGTAGGCATGTACTTTTGGTCATGTAGCAAAGATGAGGGACTCATTAAGACATTTTATCCAACCCATACCATGGTCAAAGACTGAGAAAGCAGGCAAGCCAATGGTTCTGTTCACTCGTTTATTGGTATACTGGAAGATCTAATCAGAATTTTAAAACTTGGGCTTAATGAAGTTAAGGTGAGGTTGGGGTGGTTGGGTTCATTAATCCAGAGAAATAGCATGATTTTAAGAAATCTCCATTCCTGATTTCTGGCATGGAGGGAGGTCTGTAAGTGCCAGGTTGTTTTCTCACTTGCAGTATAATTCAGAAAACCAACTGTCTGTATTTAATAACCAGTGTGATGTAATGGTGAGGGTGTTGGAGTGGGGCTTGGGAGATCCAGGTCCTGGTCTCCACTCAGTCATGCAACTCATTGGATGACTTTGGGCCAGGCATGAACTCTCAGCCTAACCTACCTTACAGGGTTGTTGGGAAGATAAATCGGAGGGGAAGAGGAGGATTATTCAGGCCTGGAAAAAAAAACAGGGAATAATACATAACAATAAATTAGTGGTATTTTATTTACAACTACCTTTCCTGCAAGAAGTTCAAGGCTGCATAGTCTGTCCATCTGCCCGCCGACCCCATTTTATCTTCAGAACAACCCTGTGAGGTAGATTAGGCTGCAAGATAGTGTCTAACTGAAGGGGATCACAAAGCCCTGGATTACCCTGGCTTTCAGGGCTCAGTGGTGCTGTGGCACCCATATGCAGGTCCAGGGACCATTATGATCAACAGCCCTGGTTAACTGGGTATATGTGTGGAATTTTAATTCTGAACAAGGCACCTCAGAGTATAACCAATAAAGTTTAAGGAAGTTCATATTTACTAGTAGCTAACTAATCCCCAGCTCCCTTCCTCCTCTCAAGTCAACCATTGTGTTTTTTCCAATTTCTTCCAGGATCTCCTCCAAAGAAAAAGGCTCTTAAAGCAGCAAGCAACCTGGAAGACCTTCAGTTGCATCCTATCTCTGCCACCATCTCACCTGGCTGAAGAGATCTCAGTTCCAATTCTGCTTGGATGCTTCCCCAGAACCGAAGAATTCACAGTTCTGTCACATTTACAAGGACAGCAAGACCAGCGTCACGACAGCAACTCTCTGGCAGCCTGGAGCATTCTTCTATGCCTGCAGCAGGCCTGTGGACACACAGAGCCACCTGCTTTCCATGCAGATGGGCTTTTCTTTAAAAAAAAAACCTCCTCCACCTGTGCACAGCCCATCTATGATGGTTGTTGTAATATCAAGCAACAACCTGCCATGTGTGATTGGACCATCACAGAGGAACCCAGCTGCTTTGGGACTTTTTGTTTTCAAAAACAGGACAATGGCCATGATTGATCTGTTGTCTGAGTAGCCCTGGGTGTCTCCTGCACTCTGACTTGCTTTGAGGGAATGCTCTGACTAGAACTACAGAACACGTGTTGTCCTCCATCTTAAAGTGGCAGCATTTGTGGCAACACCAGGACCCTTTCTCCCTCCCTCCGTCCTACTCTGCCCTGCCCTTCCATTTGTTTAAAATCCATTTGGCAAAGACTGCAAAACTCACTCACAACTTTGTTACATTTTGGTGGGTCCGGATGAGGGTTTTTTGCCTCCTGTTTGGTTATTTGCATTCATGGCTATTGCGGACAGAGCACTGCAGCCAAGGTTTATTGTTTCAGACTCAGTGTTCGTGAATCAGAATTGCAGGTGCCCGTCATCAAGAAAAGGTCCGCACATGCACCTGCTGCTCTATTACTGTATGCGCTCAGAGCTTGACAAAGGTTACACCGGACAGCACTGTGTTTACGGGAGGTATGGAACGCATGATGCACAGTGGCCCTCACTCACCTGCAATGCCTGATTTTTGCCTTCCTCACATGAGTGTGTCCATGTGTGAACCAGCCCCAGGGCTGAGAGGCATGCAGTGTACCTGTAGGATGACCCTTCCTGTGCCCGGGAGGCTCACTCCAAATGGATTTCTTTTCCTTTCAGGCACAGGGAGCAGCATCAGACAAGCTCACGTGTGTGCCAAAACCTTGCCTTAGCTTCTGCTTGCAAGCCAAAAGGATCAAACTAAAGCCTTTACACAAGGGCAGCATGGTGTAGCCCTTCGGATGGAGCTGAACTGCAGCCTCCTGTCAACATAGCTGATGATAGCTGGACCTCATACTCCGATATCTGGGGGCCGACACATTCCCCATCTCTGCACTTACTCCACTTTGTCTTGAAATGCTTTCTGCAGCTAAGCAAGTATGCGAAAGCACAGCCTTATGCATTGCTTGGTATGGCGAGAGGTGGTAATGGCTGGACCTGGGCTCTCTCCCCATGTCTATATGTGGCCGTGGGGCGAGTACCACCACTCCTGCTTCTCTTCCTTGCCATCTCTGCCTCATTAAGTGCCTAGTCCTTCCCTTGCTCCATACAAAAGGGGTTGGGTGCTCCATATAACCCACCAGCTAAGGCCAGCAGGACTAGCTTTTCCCCTCTGCCAGTGCAGGGCTGTGGCACCATGCTCTTTATTAAGCTTATTATATGGACATTGCTTAGAGTCCTGTGCTTGGAACCAGCATATTGTATCATAAAGACTTGCTATGCTGCTTTTCCAGTTATTTATTATTGCAGAAATGAATACAAATTTGTAAGCAAACACAGTGAGCACGGAGTGGTCATTTATTTGGAGTGGCTGAATGGCAGCTAGATCAGGCAAATGGATCTACTAGCAAAGAGTCCCATTTTCTAAGGCAGCTTTTCCCAACCAGGAGCTCTTGGACTGCAGCTTCTGGGATTTCAGACCACTGGCTCTGCTGGCTGGGGCTGATAGGAACCAAAATCCACAACAGCAGGAGGGTACCAGGTTTGAGAGAGGTTATTCTAAGGCTACCTAAGGTTTTGAAATAAGCGAAAGTGTTGATGTGGGCACTGCAGTGCAGACTTCTTTTGTACAGCCTTGTCTATGAAAAAACCAACATCCAAAGATGGGATCAGTACATGTAGGAACAAGCAGAAACTCTTTTCTTAATGGATCAGTTGGTTCCATGATGCTCAAAAGAGAGATGAGAAGTGTAGGACTCCGTTTCTCATTTACAGGTCAAAAAATGAACAGTTGCTTTTTTCAAGGCTGCAAATAGGAAGGGCAAGAGGCAACTGCAGGAGGAAATGGAGGCAGCCACAAGAAATCAGGAAAGGGCGCAGAGTACAGTGCTGTCCTATCACTTAGTTGTGGTCTTCTCTTGCTGTGCCACAGCGCCACCTGCAGGTCCAACCCATGCAAGACAGGAACTGCTTTAGAGCTGCTTTCACGCATGATGAATTCAGGTACTGAAACACAGCAAAGCCACTCGGGAAGTGTTTTCTCCTGTTTTATTAACAAATACGTTAGGGGGAAGGGAGGAATGGGGTTCTCAATCCTGCTGCTTGGCCCGGGAAGCTTCAGCATTAGCCCGCAGTACGGCGCCAGGGCTTGGGTAGGGGCGCTGCTGGAACAGGGGCCCGGCTGCTGTGGTGTCTGCACCAGTCTTGGCCTCATTTCGCTTGGGCAGCCCAGTAGACCAGGTTCCCCTTGAGGAAGAGAGGATGTCAGAAACAGCACTGGACCCAATACACCTCCTGCTTTGCTTCTTCTCAGCCTAGCTTCACAAATACTTGGCCCAAGCTTCTCCTGACTAAACCTGCCTGGATGGCAAGATACCCATCCTTCTACTTCTTAGCTCCTGGACTTTAGGGCACCTTGAGATGCCGCCAAATTTCCAAACCTCCTACAAAGAATGAGCAACCTTCACGTCTGCATGTGTGACACACTTTGTCAAAACAGAATGAGATCTGAGGGGCAAGTTTCAAATTCTCAACAACTTGAGCTGTTTTAAAAATATGCATGTTCAGTCCCCTATGCTTGTAAAGGTATGCTTGAACATGTACCTTCCATGCCTACTAAAGTTTCAAGAAGTTGCCAAACTAGAAAAGACAAGACAACCTGAGGTTCCTGAATGCATTTTACAGTTGAGTGTCACAGGCACTGCTAATATTAGGTACGGAAAAACTGGCAGATCTCGACTACAACTCTTATCGTTCTTCACCATCAGCCAGGTTGTCTAAAGCTGATAGGGGTTACAGTCCAAGAACATTTGGAAGGCCACATGCCTCCCCTATCCCCACACTATATGCACGTATTAAACTCCACAGAACAGTTGACCACTGGGCCAACTATCCCAGTGTAAGTCTCGTTAATCCTTTAAGGATCACAGGGAAGGGCATTCCCAGCTAAGTCAAAGTTTTAACTTGAAGCATCAGGGCTGACTTTATGCATATAAAGCACAGGCCTCATATCAAGGAACTGGGGATCTCTCTCCATACCTGCTATCTAGTCCTTTTCCCCACTTGAATGTGCAACACTGAGCTTTTCCCCTCCCCTGAAGAGGAGACTCACCGGGGAGCATCGGAATAAGCACTGGGGTCCATGGGATCAAGTTCTTCATCCTTCCGGCTTGCTGTGGAGGATGGACAAGAAGAATGGCAGGCCCCTTTTGCCACCACCCAGCCCACCCACCTGCCCCCCACAGGGCTATGGGTCCAAAAGGGGCTTAGAAAGCCCACCTCAAAGTCATGGCATGCCTGAGCAAACTGAGAGCATCATCCCCTCATGGGGATGATGAGGGGAAGCAGTGCTTACATTTCTTGCTCTTGGGGTAGGGGGCCAGCTCCTCCCGTCGGTGATAGCGACGTTCCTTCACCTCATCACGTTCCACCTTCTCATGGGAGCGCTCTGTTTTCTCTTCCGCATCTGCACAAGATTAAGTGCAACTAGTGTTACAAATCTCCCTGCTGGTCTCCTGCTTCAAGTTGACTGGGTACTGGCAAAGCCGATTCACATAGGCCTGTTGCTCTTTTTAACATGATGAAAGCTCAGACTGAGGTTTGTTGCTAGGTCAGATGCTGATGGTCTGCAACTCCCATCATCCCTCACCATTGGCTCTATTGTCTAGAGTTGATGGGTGCTGTACTCCCCCAACATCTGGAAAGCCACATGTTCCTTCTCCCTAGCATGGGCAGACTGTTGCTGGTCCATACCAAAAATATTCCAATCTTGTCAGCCAACAATCCCATCTGATTTATTCTCTCAATGTGTAGAACCAGCCAAAACTTCACTTACAAATGTAAAGATGTCACACAGATCAATGCCAAAATAGACAACTGAGCCGTGCTGCCTTTCATCCCCACCCCAGAATCCATCTTGAAGTTACTGCAACTTGTGGCCCTCCAGATCTGGCCTACAACTCCAATGATCTCTCATCATTGGCTATGCTTGCTAGAACAGATGGGAGCTGCAGGCCAAAACATCTGGAGGATCACAAGTTGCCTACACCAACCCATGATGACCTCTCCGAGCAAAAAGTGTACCCCCCACCCTTATCCCTATGACTCAATGCAGATAATAGAGACATATGTAAAAGGCTCCTGGAGGCTTGGATGTGCATTAACTCAAGCCACCAAAAGCAAGCTTACGTTGAACCAAGCCTCCTATCCCTTCCAGAAAGTTAGACCCCCAAATTCCCAAGCCCCGCTTTCTTACTTCCTAACTACAACTCAGTCCAACAAGCACATGCCACCCAAAAGCAAACCCCAACAACCTCACCTAAATTGTTCTTCAGTTTCTTGGCTGCTTTGGTCACCACAGAGTTGGGGTCATTGGGTGAGAGCCATGAAACCAGATCAGTCTCTATGTTCCAGTAGTAAGGAAGGCCACTGAGAAGAGAAGAGGGTTTTCATTCATTTGTATCCATCGCCAATGCCAGTGTGTCCAGACCAAGAGTGGCCTCATCCTCACGGTGTAGTGATCCATGTCTGGGAGGCAGTTAACCCTCTTGTGGGGTCATTCAAGCCCCTCACCCATGCAGGAAACCCACTGCTTTGAAACTTTGGAAAGGTGGCACCCAGCTTCTGCTTAAATGCTTCAAATGAAAGGGAGGCCGTCACTTTCCACAGTGGTCCATGATCAACTGGCTTGTTCCATCAAGAAGTCCTTCCAAAATGTTTAGTAGAAGCATTTTTAGTTGGCATATTTTTCCTAGCAATTTGAACCTGTCAAATTGTACCCCCCCACCAAAAAAAAAACCCCAAAAACAAAACATCATCCATGTGGCAGACCTTCAGCTCCTTGACAATGGCTATTGCACTGTCTCTTTTCCAAGCTAAAGATGCCCTACTAGTGAAAAGGCTAAAGGTCTACCAGCTCCAGCTTTCTGCCTCCAGTGGCAGCCATACACTGCTCAGTTGCTCCACAAGGGTCACAGACAGTGTTCATTGTCCCTCATGAGTGCTATGCCTGCTGTTCTGGGACTACCCAGTAGGGCTCCCGCCCGCAACTGCATCAACTGCTTCCATCCCTGTGTGAGTGCATCACTGGAAACCAGCATTCCCATGGAATTATTTAGTTGACTTCTATCCTGGCTGGCTGCACACCCAGACATGGACTTGAAGGGCACAATCCTGTACAAGTAGCTTTTAAGTGTAGCCATAAAAAGGTCTACCCCTCTCTGTGTAACACAGTTTGTCATGCTGGCAGCGATAGGTGTTTCTTCTGTTGAAACTGGCACAGAATTGCAGCTTACATGGATCCCCAGCAGTCTCACATCCAGGCACTCAATCCAGCAACACTGCTGAGAAACAGGGGCCCCTGGATTTTCCATGCTTCCCCATCCTTTCCTTTGCAGCATAGATGCTAAGAGTTGCAATGAGTGTGGTTTATACACAAAAGCTGAAACTGTTACTCTGAACCACTTTTTAAAACCAGCAGTACAAAATATTTTTATTTAGTTAGCACACAAGTGGGCAACTAGATGTTTTGGCTTACAACTCCCATCAGCATAGCTGATGCTGAGGGATCATGGGAGTTGTTATTATTGTCATTAATCTGTTTCTGACTTCTGGATATCCTGTGAATGAAAGCCCTCCAAAATGTCCTGTCCATGATTAGCACAGCCCAATCTATTCAAGCACCCACCCCCAGAAAAAAGGCACAGCATACCACCCCTTGGAGAAGCAGCCACAAAACACCATGAACTGGTCCTCAGTTTAGTGAATGTTTCAAGACCACACAGAAGTTCCCAAGCAACCCAAATGCTTTCCCTTTTTGGACTCAGCAGGGGCCTAGTGAAGTCTCATCTCAACTCCTTTCCCCACCTTTGGTGCCTCTGCATTGCCAAACATGCTGCAAGCACAGACTACCCTGCAAGCACAAATTAAAAGGCCCTAATGGGAGCACCATTAGGTGCACAAACCTTTGGAAGAGGCAGGGATACTGTGCTCGGGACACCCTCTACCCTCTTACCAGGCAGGGTCGATGACTTTGTACCAGTTTGGTGGTAGATTCTCCATCCTAGTGGCCTCATAATCAACATGGTCATCATCATAATCTTCTGCAATAATTTCCTCCTCTGGCTCTAATAGAGAATATTACCAGAAAAAATAAGACAAAAAGCAAGAAATAATTCTCAAAGTGCCTGACCCTGCCCAACTTATTTCAGAAACACAATTCTATCTTCAGGGGCTTTTGTCCTCCCACATACATGCAGCAGCAAGCCCTTCTGCTCCTCCCTTTGCTGAAACTGATTGAAGTTTTCTATAATCTGGATTACTCTATGGATAAGCACTGGTGGTGATGGCTATTGTAGTCCAACTCATCCACAGGATGCCATATTGGGGAAGTCTGGTCAAGACAATAGATTAGGCATCTGTGAATTTAAGACACAGCCTTACCTAGAAAGGCATTCTCTTGCTAGCTAAGAATATTTCTGTACTCACCAGGCTCTACATGTTTCAGCAGGCCTCGCCTGGCCAGGCGGGACTGAAGTGCCACTGGCAGTGGCATCAGGGACAATCCAACTGGATAGATGGACAAATCTCTTCTCCAACCCAATTTCCTGTAGCTTAACAGAGAGGCGGAAAGATGTTATAATGTGTTCTTGTCATTGGGTTTGACTTTTAACCCAACTTTCTAGAAGGGATCCTATGAACATTTCCTTGCCATTTCCTAACTCATTCCTTTCCAGACCCAGGTGGGGAGGGGGGAGAGAGAGAGAGACTTTCTCACCACATCTACACAAAGTCTTTAAATAGCATTTCTGACTCCTATTTCTGCAGTCATAACCCCCAACATTCTTGGAAGTTTGGAAGCAACTACAGCTTCTTGATTCACTTGCATGGCAAACACAGCAACTAATACATCCTTGTTTAGGCCTGGTTTTTGGGTAGTCTTGTGCAAGAAAGCTGTCAATAAATATGGATGTGAAGCACACCTGTGTTTCTGCAACCAGGCCAGACTTCTAATTCTTTATTGCTCTTAGCTTAGGTATGTCATGTTCCTCTTATGCCTAGATTTAGCATTTTGTCAATTTTGTTAAGCAATTTCTCCTTCCAGCTCCTTGAGTCTTCAACCACCTCCATTGCTACATGATTCTTTCAAATCCATTCCCACATCACCAGTACTCAGCCCAACCTCTTCCCTGTTTTATCCATCATATACAACCACCAGCGTAACAGACAAGGACTACTTCTTCTGTGTCCTGACTAACATTGTCATTGTACTACCTATTATTGTAGACAGCATTCTGCAATTCAAAGTTAACAAGTGCTCTGATTTAGAGCTGGGATTAGTATGATTTGCTGCAGTTCGTGAGTTTCTATCTGAATTCATTCTAGCTGCTTCATGTTTCTGCTGAGAGACAGGCCAGGTACTAGCATACACAGGCACAAGTATTTAAAACACTGCTAGATGACATTAGAGGGCATGTGCTCAGCTGCACGATAAGTTCTTGGTCCATCTAGCTCGTGCCTTGGTCATGTCCCAGCTCCAGTACTCCCAGAGGTGGTCAGAAGCTTCCATGACCAAATCCTTCTTTTCCAAAGCCAAAGAAAGCTCCTTATAAATAGAGCACTAGACTGCCGGAGAGAAGAGCTATAGCCGCTCCCTGACATGCTAGATTTCGACGTGCAGGGAGGGCAAAGCATTTACAGCCTCAGTGGGCACCAGTCTCCATCTACCCGTGGGGGAGATTCTCCAACCTTCACTTCACATCGCCCACTCTGTCTTCCTTGCAGAGCTCCCGCCCGCTCCTCTCCAGGAATTCAGCCAACATTTACCTTCCCCGACTTAACGGAGACTTCTTGCCCCTTCGAGACCACCGTCCCCGGGAGATTAACAAGGCTCCCGCCCCCGCCCCGCACATACACGCACGCGACACACTCCAACCAATCCCCCGTCACCGTATAACCGAGCCATCTCCTCACGGCCCGGTTTTGAGCCCTCAGCCCCTTACCGGATTCGATCGTTAGCTAGGGGGAGATCCCGCCGGCTCCAGGGGGTCCACCTCCTTTTAGCCAATCAGAGACGCATTTGCTTTTCCGACAGGAATAAGGCGCATGTTGCGTACGCCGAGAAAACTCCCATCCTGCCTTGCTTCTCCATGGGCTGATTTGCCGGGCCGTGGACACGTGAGGGGATCCATAAGAGAAAAAGAAACAGAGTACTGATTTCCTTTTGAACTGCTGATTCGGGATGGAACAGTTTTCCTCCCCTTAACTACCAACGCAGCGTATCAAACATTCTCGATGCAGAGATGCCAAGGGCTTCTTTGCCCGTCAGTGATGGCGTACTTTAAAATTTTACTTTTTGACCCGAATGAGTATTCACTCTACACTTACCTATCTCTAGGATAGGGAGAACCACATAAGGGACCTTCGGTTGCTTTCCCAGCCAGGGTCGGGTCGCCCTTTCCACGTGCTTCTAGTGGCCAATCAGCGTTCTTCACGTGACCCGGGCTGGTAGTTTCCCATCGAGCCTGCGTCTGAGAGCAATGGAGGAATATGCCCGGGAGCCCTGGTAACCGGGAGGGTGGACTGGTCTCCCCGTCCTTGCCGCACGGGCTGGGGTGGGGGGCTCTCGCTTCTCGGGGCTCTAGCGGGGGAACGAAGACTTCTTCGCGGTGGGAGGGGCGGTCTTAACTATAATAGTTCACCAACTCGCTAGTTCGGTCCAGGCTGGTAAGTACGGGAGGGCTTAAGGGCCAGCTTTTCCCAACTGGGCGCCCTCCAAATGTTTTGGACTGCAGTTCCCAGCATGCCCCCTCACCACTCATGCTGGCTGGGGAGATGTGGGAGCTGTAGCCCAAAACATCTGGAAGGCTCCAGTTTGGGGAAAGCTGCCTTATCACATCTTATTACGGGCATGGCAGTTCTGTGGGGTAGGGTAGGGTAGGGTAGGGTTAGGTCAGGTGAACAGAGGCAACTGGTCCCAAGCCTGCCCAGTGAGGCTGGTGGCAGACACGGGAATTGAACCCAGGTCCTCCAGTCCAAATCTGCTGCTAATGGCTATGCCCCACTGGTTTTTCTTCAGCTTTCTTCAGATGCCCGCAACCAAAAATAAAGCCTGAACCTGGAATAGTTTCTTCAGTACACAGCAACTGCAAAAACAGTTGTTGGCCGTTTACCTGGGAGTAAGCCTGTTTACCTGGGAGTAAGCCTCATTGAGCTCAGTGGTTTTTATTTTGAATAGCCTCATATAGAATTGCACTGTAAGAGATCCACCAGGAAAAATGTGAAGATGCAAGCAAGTTTCTAAATTCAAGAGAACTCAGTGAGGCTGAGAGATAAATTGGCCAGAGATTTCCTCCTATGAGCTTTGTGGCCGAGTGTGGGTATTTTGCAGCAAGAAATTCTTAAACCAAGGTCATTCCATGTTCTGTGCATCTGGATTTGTACTGTTTCCTTATGCTGAGTCTTCTGGGTGATGAGCCTTCTTGAGCATCTTTGGCTCATGGTTTATAAACTTTCATCTCTGCACAAGAATATGTTGTGCACCTCTCACTGCCCATGTGTAAGCTGGGGAGCTAATACAAATACATCTATGGCAAAAGTGGTTATGTTGTCAAATGTGTGATTTGTATTTACAAACTGTAATACAAAAACTGAGGGTTTTGACTGGCTACTTAAAATAAGGTCACATCTGCTTACCTGATGCTCAGTCACATGGAGGCATATGATGGGATTTTTGTACGTCAGTTTGGGTTATGGCATACTGATGTTTAACTTTTATTATGTTTTTGGTATTGTTAATGGAAAGCAGTGTTTACTATTTTGATTTTGTTCATTGTAATAATTTTGTTGTAAGTTGCCTTGGATTGTCTTGAGAAAGGCAACTAAGATACTTAATAAATAAACAAAATGTCAACAAATATAAAGAAAAGGATTTTTACTAGGCATGGACTAGACTAGCTACACCTAGTCAGGAACCCTTTAGATCCTATATTACAGCTCCAATCATCACTAGCCAGCTAGGGACAATAGGAGTTGGACTCTTTAACATCTCGAAGGGGCTGCTTTGGGGGAAGTTGGAATAGGTCATGCCAGTATATTCTAGGAAAAGCAGCCAAGCTGTTAAAAGATCAGGGGCAGGGATCATGATATCTTTGAAGTAAACCTGTTTTTGGCATAAGATCTCTTAAGGCCTTTTCTCTCTGTGCCATTTCTAGATTTGTTCTCCCCAGCCTTACTGTTGAGCCTGTTCTTGGCTTGCTTTTTCTATTGCTTTCTGCAGAAGCAACCCCTGCTCTAACTTCTCTTCTGTATTCACATGGCAGTCCATGGAGGATTGTGGATGACTGTGGTGGTGCCTTTACCATGGGGATGATTGGTGGAGGTGTCTTCCAGGCTGTCAAAGGCTTCCGCAATGCTCCTGTGGTGAGTACCAAACATTTATCCCCTTTTGGGCTTCTATGAGTAGAGCAGTCCTAAAATGGACTGGGGCCCCTGGCTTGGCTTTCTTCTGTTTGCTTTCTTTGCTCTCTTATAGGAGTTCTTCAGGACAGGTATTTGTCCCCTCATCAAGCTGTAATTTGGGCTTTTGAAGGCGTCTGTCTGAGTAGAAGAGCTCTGTGACTGAAGTGGTTTCTTCTTGTTTAGGGTGTCAGACATCGGTTCAAAGGCAGCTTGAATGCAATCAGAGTCAGAGCACCACAGATTGGAGGTAAAAGCTCTTGAGCAGTGGGAATTTGTTTCATTTTCAGAGAGAGCCAGGGTTGTAGTTAAATTGTTGGGTGAATAGGAAGATCTGAGTTCAGGCCTCACTCTGCCTTGAGAGTTCCCTGTGTGACATTGGACCCAGCCTCCTTGCTTTCCACCTAGCTTACCTCTCAGAGTAATCTTTCCCCCACTAACACTGCCAGGACCTTCAATAATGCATTTCAGATACTGCCCTGCATCAATCCAGTTCACCCTGTGCACCAAATAAATTGATATGATACAAGCCAAGAATCTGGGTTTTCCAGAGCAGAACATCAAAATCTTTTGGTGCCAATTATGAATAACTCTGCTTCCAGCTGGTGACTACAATGCTCTCTTTTGTTCTCTGCACAGGCAGCTTTGCAGTATGGGGTGGGCTTTTCTCTACCATCGACTGTGGCCTGGTGAAAATGCGGGGCAAGGAGGATCCCTGGAACTCCATCACCAGTGGGGCACTCACTGGGGCTGTGCTAGCATCACGCAGTAAGTGGTGGTTCATTACTTTCCCAGGTGTAGCATTGCTTGACCTTTCCCTTTGTGCTGAACTAAGGCTTCTTTTCCTTAGGTGGACCATTGGCCATGGTAGGTTCAGCTATGATGGGAGGCATCTTACTTGCCCTGATAGAAGGTGTTGGGATTTTGCTGACCAGATACACAGCCCAGCAATTCCAGAATCGTAAGTTCTAAATTCAGGACCATGGGGTGTCAGTAAAGCAGAAGACAAAGGAACCCAGAATTCTTCTGGAACGGGCTGGGAGCACCTCAGGCTCGAGCCTCTGGTCTGGTTAATGAGGTTCTCCAAATAGCCAACATTCTTTCCCTGACTGTTGATATGTTGGTGTCTTTCCAGTTCTTTCCTGTTCTAAAAAGCTGAAGGTTGCAGTATCTTCCTGTAGCTTTGTTACAGGCAGGAAGAGCTGTAATCCACAGCATGCTCATGCTTTTGGCCCCAGCTGTTTTGCCTTTGGCCCTGCCTACAACTGAAATGTTGCCCTCTCACCCAAGAGCCTTTCCAAAATGGAATGTCATCCTCAGACTGAAAGGGGTTCCACACCTATTCATGGAATGCTGCTTTGCTGGGCAGGCCCACCAACAGGAAGCTCCTTAATGTGTCCCCGCTGTCTGCTTATGGTGCAGTGTTAGTGAGGATTATGTGCATTGGCCTGTGGGTGGAGGATAGAAAGATCCTGCTTTGGGGCAGGAGCAGGGAGTGGAGCAGCTCATTTTGGTCAATTTCCTAGAAGGTTGTTTTAGGATTCTGGTGCCTTCTAGCACAGCTTTCCCCAACCTGGTGTCCTGCAGCTGCCATGGACTACAGTTCCTGCCAGCCTCAGCCTCTGAGGGTGATTATCAGTTTGATGGGAGCTGAAGTCCAGAAGCACCTGGAGAGATCAGGACTAGGCGACAGTGCTCTTGCATTGATCGCAGAAAGCTCTCACTCTGGCTTCCATGTTCATTAAGGCATGGAAGGCTGTGCATGGAGGGACAGCACCACTTCGCAGCAGCAGGCACTGAATTTTGTAGGGTAACCTAACCCAGGGAACCCACTTGAGAGAAGAGAAGCCCATACCCAATTCTCTTCACAGCACTTCTTTCATCAGTGGCACACAGTGTGTCTAGCTCTGTTTTTAGCATCTATGGCTCATTACTTTTGCCTTTGCAAGTGTTTGACTGCCCTTTTTGAAGAAGTAAATAAAAGGCTGCCTTTGGTGACAGTGTCAAACCTCCCTCCAGCCTTTACAGCGAGATGGATGCTATAATGTACACAGGTGCTTATCATTCCCCACCCTCTGCAAGATCTAGATCTTCCACACCCACCACTTTTATCCCAGCTGTGGCATTTTGCTAGTGGTTCTATAAATTCATGTAGTGGTTACACTCCCTTCCCACAGTGTCTGGCACCCACCTCCTTTTCCTCTTCTTTTTTTACAGGTTTAGATTTCAGTCTACTCTGAGTGTTTTTGAAACAAAAGTTGGGATTTTTCACATTATTTAATGGGTCACCCTCACCTAAATCCACATTACTCCTGGCCGCATCACAGCATGCGCTAATGTTTTCTGTCCTCCAAAAGAGTTGTACTCAACTGCTGTAACCAGGAAGTGATGCCACTCCTGCCTTCTGTTTGTCGTAACTGTTCATCCTTCTTTATTTCCCAGCCAACCCCTTTGGAGATGATCCCAGCCAGCTGCCTCCCAAGGATGGCTCACCACCTGCAGGATACCCAGGCTATGGACATTATCAGTGAAGCCCTTTGGGGCCAGGGATTCTTCTATTTTTGCAGGGATGGGGCAGGAATTTCCTCCTGAAGTTACTCAAGACCAGCACCCTACAGCACAAACAAACAGCATGCAAGGGATTTGATTCGAGTTTTCTTAAAGGGGTGGGTGGGATTAAGGAATATTTGAGCAGTGTAATCTACCTCTTTGTGGGAGGTTTGGGGTCATGGAGTGACATGCCTCAGAATTAGTTTCATGTGCTGAGGAGACCAGAGCCTACACAGAGTGAATGACTCCAGATTCTAGGCTCACACTTCTCAGCCTGTCTGTTCTGAGGGTGCAGTAACAATGAACTGACTGTGACAAAGGACTTTAGAAGGGTTCTCTCTTGATTTACAGGTGCAGTGGGGTCCTCCTCCTCTTGTGGGTTAGCATACAAAAAAAATGTAGGCTGAGTGGTCTGTGCTTTGCTTTCCCAAGTTTTATATGTAGGTAAGGGGGTGTAACTGTAGGAAGCAGAAGCTGTGCCAGTCCAGCAAGAAGCACAGAAGTGTGTCTCAGATGGGGCTGAGGTTTTGTGCTGGGTTGGATCTCTAGTTCCTGAGCTACCAAACCAAATGCAACCCTGCAGGGCATAGTAATAATGCAACCCTGCAGGGCATAGTAATAATGCAACTGGTGGACTGCATTTGGTTTGAAGGGTCACAGGTTGTGCAACCCAGCCTTCAAGCTAAATTTGGTGCACCAGCCCCCAAGTTCCTAACCAAGGCAAGTTTCCACCCAACATTCTGAAAGAATCCTTACAACTGGGGATGCAGAATGATCTGAAGACTGATATGACCCTTCACATCTAAGTTAGTCTGCCCTGATGCTCAGTGAGAACTCTGGACAAAATTTTATCTGCTTAGGATACTGGTGCCCAGTGGGACATGCACCCTCACTGATCGTACAGAGACCTATAAATATAGGATTTTTTTAAAAAAAATCCTTTTTAAAGTGAATTTGTTACGATGCTCATTAGATGCTCAGTAGGGGTGCTGACCTGCATTATATATAGCGAGGTCCAATACAACCTATTGTCTGGACTGCAGATCCCCAGATCTTTGGGTTTTACTTGTATTTTGAGATCATTTTAAAGAAAAAATTTATGTATTGTGTGTTACAGGTATAAATACAAAGTGACTATTTGGCTACGGTCCTGGAAAGTTAGATAATTGCCAAAACGGTGGGGTGGGGTAGGAAGGTGCGAGCAGCTGTGTGCCTTGCCTGAGGATGAATGGGTGGGTGGGCAGGTAGGGTGTGAGCTTATGTGCTGGGAAAGTAAAATAGACGAGCCTTCTCTCAGACAAATGTGGCAAGCCTTTGATCCCATGAGCAAAGAGCATCCTCTGAAAAGACAGCAAAGACCAATCTTGGGTGATTGGATCTTTCCCCAAAGCAGTCCATTGAGTGATGTGGCTTCTTCCATGTCCTCCGCCTGCTGTATCATCTTCCCCAGCTGCAATAGCTGGCAGTCACAGCACAGTCCTTGACCACTTTCAGATATCTGCCCACTTAAAAGATGGATTTTTTGTTTTATCAAGCTTCAGTGCCTTGGGTGGATCTGAAAAGCAAACCAGGATAAGTTGTCAAATGGAGAGTGGAGTAATCTTCATTTAGCTATCTAGAAGACCTGTGTAACAAAACAACCCACAGGCCTGTAAGGCAAAGTAGGTAGTTGGGAAGCAGGAAAGGAAATGATGCAGTGCACCTATTTGCCCTGCATGGGATTCATCCAGGGGGTGGGGGGTGTGAGGGGCTAGTACCTTGGTCATTTTGACACGATTCCCTTGTGAGCACATCCAGCCTGAATTGTCAGGCAATGCTTTGCACTCCTCATCAGCCAGACAGGGGTCCATGTCACACCACCACTTCCCTGTTATGATGGAGGCTGCAGAGTAGAAATAAGCATTGGTTCTCACTCCTGCTTGCTCCTGCACCTGTACACTGCCTCCTTTACCCTGCCCCACATGGGGCATCAGTTTTGCCAGTTCCCTAGATCCATCCAGAGATTTTACATTAGGGAAAGATGCCAGGATCAGGAACAGATGAAAAGCCTCTTTATTTTTGTCCATGCTGTAAAAATTCAGTTGCCCTTGCCATATATAAACCAGATAAATTTAAACTGAAATTTGTACCTGCAAATTTGTATCTTAAAGTCTTATTAGAGTCTATGCAATTCAGGCTAACAAAATGTCAGTCTGGTTGACTCTCAATAGCCACTTCTACAGGCTCTTATTCCCCTGCATTTTGCCCAGGGGACCCTGTACAAAGTTTAACTCTTTCAGTGCCCTTGTGTCTTTATTTCTCATGAAAGGGCCTGAAGTTTCAACCTCTTTCAATTGTTCCCTGGATCCCTTTTTGTGTATACCTATCTCCACCAACATCCTGATGCTTCCCTTTACAAGTAAATGGTTCCTTTCATGCTCATTCGGTGTTCTCATCCCACTTTGAGCATCTCTTCCATTTTCTCCTGAACTTCCTTCCTTCCTTCCTTCCTTCCTTCCTTCCTTCCTTCCTTCCTTCCTTCCTAGGGGGTTCTTGGGAGGAGGCCATAGTTCCTGGCACTTACTGTCCACACAGGAAGGTTTGCCACGAGTTGTCCCAGCTACTTTTCCTGGGAGGCAGGAACACTGGATAGTTTGAGACCGTTCTTCAATGTGGTTGCGGTTGCAGCAGCGGCGGACAGCAATCACCTTGCAGGTACCTCCACCTTTGGTGGGAAGCAAGTAGAGAGTAAACATTGGAGAGGAGGAAGCCACAAAGACCTTTCTTTTGCAGCCTGGCAGCAGGGTTTCTTGCTCTCCACTTTTGTTAGCTACTTCAATGGCTTGTGAGAGCAACAATTCTAGTCCCGGTGCTGTAGGCAAATTTTCATCTTCCCAAGTTCTGTCTTTGTGCTGGATTCAAATGCCCATTAAAAGCATATCATAGCATATTCCCGACCACATCTAAGCATCAGTTGTCTGAAATCTGATGCCAATTTTATGTGTTAAGCACTTGTGTGGAGTTGTGTAACCAGCCCTGCCCTGCAGGACCCGAGGAAAGGATTGCCTTTACTCTGACAACTGTTCCTTTTGAGGAAAACGGCCTTGCATACACTTTAAGAATCAAGGGCCTACTTGATTCCTTTCCTTTCAATTCCTTTCTATATAGGAATATAGAAAACTGCCTTATACAAGTTCCTTCTAGCCCTGTGTTATAGTCACTGACTGGCAGTGGCTTTCCAGGGATTCCAGCAGCATCTTTTCCTAGCCCTACCTGAAGATACTGGGGATTTGAATCCAGAAGCATACCAGTGGCTGGGCCATATACATGCATATATATATGATGGGTGTATATAGAATGACTACTGGAACTGCCTAATAAGTGAAACAGTGGTATCGGACAGCAAGCCTATGGTCTGCCTTTTCCTAGCAGTGTGGCTTAGGTCAGCTAAATGAAGCACAGAAACTACTTACTGATCACGGGGATTTGATCCATTGCAGTCTGGTACCAGTACTGATCATGATGGTGCTGTTGTGTGTGAATGGGGAACTCCTGTGTGCAGATTCTGTGACACAGAAGGGTGGCACAAACCATGAAGATTGCTGTTGCAGAATGGCTCATTGTGGTAGGTCTGCAGACGGGAGTGGGGATAAAATCCCATTAATTGACCCACTTGTGTTCATTTATCCACAGCTTTGCAAAATAGTTCTACCATGAAGAAAGCATTGATACTAAAGTTGGTTCCCAGTTCCTTATTTTGTATCTGTTTTTGCTATAATTGACTTGATGTTGCATAAAAAAAGCTCAGGACTAGATGCAACTTTATGCCATCTGACAGATACTCTTGGATGTGCCAGCCTCATGTATTCTAGCCTTGAGCCCATTTTTTTTTTTTTTTTTGACAGAGAAATGATTAATGAACATACCATTTCATAGAATCCTAGAATAGCAGAGTTGGAAAGAGCAAGGAAGGCCATCAGGTCCAACCCCCTGCTGTTGCAGGACACCAATTTACACCATCCCTCTCAGATGAATGTCCATTTTCTTTCTGAAAGTCTCTGGTGTGGGAGAGCCCACAACCTCTCTAAGCAACCACTGTCCACTGTCATATTGCTCTGAGTGAGGAAATTTTTCCTGATATCTAGCCCGAATTTGGTTTGCTGCAACTGTACTCTGATATGAGTGAGATCTTGTCCTTTCTCTTTGTGACAGACTTTGGGGTACTTACAGAATGATATTATATCTCCCCTCAGACTTCTCAAGGCTGAGCATACCCAGTTCTCTCAGTTTTTCCTCATAGGGCAGTGTTTCCAGACTGGATAATTTGTGGCCCTCCTCTGGACACTTTCTAGTTTTCTGCATCTTTCTTAAATTTTGGTGCCCAGAACTGGACACAGTATTCTAGATGAAGTTTGACTAGTGAACAGTATAGGGGAACTATTACTTCTTCTGATTTGGAGTAATGCTTCTATTAATGTATCCTAAAATAGCACTTGTCCTTTTTGCGACTGCATCGCATTGTTGGCTCACATTTAGTCTCATCCACAAGAAGTCCAAGGTCATTTTCAGTTCTGTTGAGTCATATATTCCCCATCTTGTATTGACACATTTGGTTTCTTTTTCCTGGGTGGAGAGGTTGGCATTTGTTCCTGTTGAATCTTACTTTGTTGCTTTCAGTGCAGTGTTCAAGTTTATCACAATCTCCCTGAGTCTTCATTCTGTCTTCCAGAGTTTTGCTATTCCACCCAGTTTTGTATTGTCTGAAAATTTGATTATCATTCCTTGTACTTTGGCCATCTAAATCATTAATATGTTGAAGAGCACTGGACCTAAGACTGAACTCTGCAGCACCTCACTAGTTACCTTTCTCCAGCTTGAGAAGGTGGTGGAATTTGGAAGTAAATTCCAAAACCTTCTGTTTGGAAGTAATAGAGTCCTTTGTGGACTACATTATGTGGTTGTTCTCAGAGTTTGGATTTGATTTCCAAAGGTTTGGGTGACAAGTCTCATTGTCCTGGGATCCAGGGAAACATGGCAACACAGATATGAAACACATTCTCATATGCCACCCACCCCACCACCAAAATACGTTGGTGCTGGAGGTTTAGGAATATGGTAGTATTTTGTCTTCATTCACACGCAAGAACAAACTTCTTGCCTTTTTTCAATAACGGCATATGCACTATTAGGAAAGACTGCCCAGATTTGAAGAACCCAGAGGGCCTATGTGGATTCCCACATGGATGTCGCATCTTTGTAGGGAAATTAGTACACAAACCATTCATACACCATTGAAAGTGCACATGTGCATGTATTATGGCAACTTCTTGTTTCGTGGTTGTTTGCCATTTGTCCATGTGCTAATACAAAACAAATGTACTTGTCACATGAGATTGGTCTGAAAAAATAAGCACATACAATTGTTTTTATTAATGTCTGAACATACATGTTTGAGGAGAGCAGTGGAACCCAAGATATTCCCAAGGTGTGGTCCACGTTGGAAGCTTCCAGCACACCAAAGAAATAAGGATGCTGTGACTCCCTTGGTGTCCCTTGGACTCACAAGGCAGTGGCAGCTACCTGGGTGACACTCACCGAGGAGTGTGTCACAAACCATGGGAGAAGCAGAATACATTCATTCCATTCTTGCTATTCTGTAGCTCTTCAAAGCAGAACTCATTGGTGGGTTGGCTATGAGGCAGACTCCTTGCACCCAGCCGATTGCTGATGCCCTTCTGCATTCAGCTGGTGATGTCAAAAGGGAGACTTGACTGACAGGAAAGGTTAAGGCTGGGGTTGCTGCCTGGCTTTTCATAGCAGCCCCCAGAAAGGGGTGCAAAGCCCTGTTTGCTCTTAACTGTTGGGCCACTGCCAAATGTAAACTGACAGTGCTAAGAAGGATTGTTGCCAAATATCCTTTGCTTGTTCCCTTTAGCTGCCATGCTAATGCTAGGTGGTGCTTCCTCAGTCTTTTCTACTCTGATGGTGAATGAAAGAGTATATTTTGCATTAGCCTCTACCATGGCAATATTTGCACTGCTCTGGTCTGCAGCACACCATTTATGTTTGAAAGTAAGAATGCAGGTTAACAACTATCTAAAACTGTTGGTTAAATAGTTTTGCATCTTAAGGAACAGAATGGTGTTTAAATGTAAGGTTCTTTTCCTTATGACTATTACACTGCATTTCTATCCCACTTTTTCCCCTCTTGTAAGAAGAGAACACAAGCTGGCTTGGGTTTCTCACAACAACCTTGTGAGGAAGACTAGGCTGAGAGTGATTCGTTATCCCAAAGTCAACCAGTGAGCTTCATGGCTGAGTAGTGACTATAACCTGCATCTTCCAGCTCCCCAGCCCAATACTCTTAACTGCCACACCACACTTATTGGCTTACCTTTTCCTTTAGAAATGCATGCTTTGGTTCTGTATCCTTTTCATTTTAAATAATCAGAAAGGATAATTATAGTAAATCTTAACCAATGGTGCATGCTCAGCCTTACTTGACCCAGATTATCTGTGACTCCTGCTTTGCAAATACTAAAAAGCACTTTGATAGACTCCGGGGATTTGCGAAAAGAAAAAGTATACCATGTAAGGCTGCCTGATTGTCCCTGCTGTAGAATGTACTAGCTCCAGCAATTGCATCTCTTCGTTATACTTAATTCAATGTCTGACTATGTCCCGCTGCACAGAATTGTGGAGTCGCTATTGCTTTTGGGATATGCAGAAAGAGGAACTGGTATAATCACAGCATGAGAATGAATCAGGAGCAAACTAGTTGTCATCAAAATAAAATCATGCACATTTATTTCCATTAAATGAATCCCATTATTTTGCCCTTCCCTGTCTGTTCTCCATCGCTCCTGCTATTGTTCCCACTTCTGTCATCAAGACCTGCATTGTAAGTTCCTTGCAGGAAGGGATTTGTCTTTTTCTGTAAATGATGTTACCCATTTGATGTTACCAAGGCACTGACATGTGTCCTTGAGTGCTAATGTCTTGAGGAATGGAAAGCATTGTCCACTGGTCCCCTTTCTTCTGAGCCGATTGCCCGACCCTTCAACCCCCCCTTTTCTCATCAAGTGCAAGGAGACTTACCTGTGACACTGTCCCTGGTGCTGAAGTTTTCTCACCCCTCTGTCCCAGCCATGGAGGGATTCCTTGACTCCTGAAGCATCTTCTGCCTCGTTCTGACTATCTGTTCTGCTACTCGGGAGAGAGTTGGGGGCTGAGGGCAGAAGCACTGAGCACAATGTCCTGGAATCAAAGTAGCAGTTCTGGCAGCTTTGCTTGCCCTGTTCGCACTCCACCCCCACTCCTTGCAATCAGGCAACTCAGCTACTCTCCCATCCAGATTTGGGGATGGAACCAAACGTCCTGGCTCCCGGCCTTCCTTCTGTAACCCAGCAGATGTCTCAGTGTTTGTGTGAGCTTTTGAATCTGCCTATTCTTCAGCTTCTGGGTTTGACTGATCTGTGTGCGTGTTAGTTATCCAGGCTGTGTCTCTTTGCGCTTCTCCCTTATACTCCCTGTCCAAACAGCCCTCCTAACACACCCACACAAGGCCTCCTCCTACAGACTTGGCATCTCAGCCCCACTCTCCTGGGGAGAGGAGCCCAGGAGAGAACTTTGCCAGGTTCTTTTTTCTTGTCTTCACTGTTTCTCACTTTGGGACGACGTGTTAAATGTTGGAGCCACATAAGATGGAACTTTGCATGCAGGCAGATAGAGCCCTATGGCTGTTTGAGTCTGACATCCAAGAGCATAAACCCTGCTAAAGTCTTTCTGTTTAAAGGAACACATCTGAATACTCTGTGCTGACTGGAAAGGCACCTATTTTGTGCTGTGTAAGGATTGGTGGCACAAAGTTTAAGGGTAACATTTGTTTTTCCCAGGCAGCACTATTCTTTGTGTGTCTGCTCATGAGTAAGCCACACTGCAGCAGTCTTCAGACATAAAAGCCAAAGCTTAGCGCTTTGCCTGCCTACTCAGAAGTAAGCCAGAAAAATGGGGCACAAACCAAAGCCACAAAAAGTGACTTTTAAAACCAAGTCTCTGGTTTCAACATCTCATTACAGGACCACTTTACATAATCTTGGTAAGATCCAGACCTGTCATTCCACCAGTGGGATGATACCCCATGCAGAACAGAACCTTCTCCTATAGCAGCCCCCTCTACCACATGCCCTCCAAATCTGTCTTTTCACATTCACTGGAGAGCTTTGGAGGGCAGATTGAAGGTGCAGGTGGCAAGGAGAGGATGCAGACAGTACCATTATGTAAGTGGTTTCCCTACACTGATGGAAAGGCAGACCCAGCCCCTTTAAAGAGCAGGATATTAATATATGTAATTAGTTTATGAATGTCTTTAAATCCCCTCTTAGGAGATCACTGACCAGAGTTAAGAGGGGGACTTTCCTGCACAATGCTGAAAAAGATTGCTTTTCTTTAGAACTCGGCAGGGAAACCCTGGCTTTTAACTCCAGTCAATCATTGGAGATAAGAGTTGGGGTTTCTGTACCAAGCTGGAGGGAGAAATGGCTGGATCTGCAAAAGAAGCCAGAAGGTCAGAGGTTCTAGAGCAACAAGGATTAGATGCTCACCCTTTCTCTTGTAGCCTTGCTTTGATCTGAATACACACGTGCAGGAGTAGGTTATGTGTATGTGGCTACATTTTGGGACACACGAGTTGCAAAGGTGTAATTCCTGATACATCATTGCCCACATCTCTGTTTTCTCAACCGAAGCCCCAAAGATGGGTGCTGCTAAATGTTCATCTGTCACGGTCCATCTCAGCCATGCTTCCCACTGCCCATAATGTGCCAGGCAGTGCTCTTTCACCAAATGTGGGTGGAGGTTGCAGATGCTAGTGATGGAGAGGGAAGGGCATCTGTGAGGGCAGAGCTGTTTCTGCTGGCCTCGTGCATGGTAGAGGTGGTTGCCCCATTATCAGTGTCAAAATAAGATCCAGCTGCATGTCGTGATCGGCTTCTGCCCATGGAGAGCATGCTGGTGGTCACCTGCAGCCTATTTCTGTGTGGGTTATCATGCCTTTTAGGCACATGTCTTTTACTTGTACTGTAGAAATCCATTTCTACTGATGACCACAGTACAACTCATAACTGTCAGCAGAGGCTTTGACGTCAATTCAAAATGAGGGTGTGAGGGCATAAGGATGACAGTGTCTTCCCAGCTCAAATTGAGGTCTGCTCCTGACCCAACATTCCTGAAGTGAGAACAGTGATAGAAAGGGTGTGTGCAGGGAGTGTGCGCACAGTTTATTAACTAGGCCAGGGATGAATACATACAGGCAGTTCATTTGCTTAATGAGGCCTTGTGAAGTATGTGTCTTATGAAGAAAACAGGTTGATTGCTGAAAAACATGAATTCTTGCTGGTGTGGGAGCCAGAAATAGACAAGTGTGGTAGCTTCATAAAACCCAGGGGAAACTGACTCGTCTTAGCCATGGTTGAATTTGAGTTTGGTTCTTTCAGCCTCTGAACACATGAGGCAAGAGGGTATTGTTCCTCTGAGCATATTGGCAGAAGACAGAATTTCACTCTGTCCCAAGCCATCCGGGATTTGAAGGTGAAACGTCCTCCTCAAAATGTTGATGGCTTGTCTCCTGCTATCAGAACTATGGAGGCAGGTTAGAAAAATTGCTGGCTGAACATCATAGGTGCAGAACTTCCGTTAGCCCAAGGGCCAAATTCTACCTGGGAGAAGCTCTTGGGGGCTGCATTCCAGTGGTGGGTGGGGTCAAGTACAAAGAGGAGCAGTGCCAAAAATACCAGCATGTCCTTTTAAAAATCTCTTATTGCTGATAACTAAGCCATGTGGAAAGCAATGTAATTTTTTAGAATGGGGAAGAAATCTCACTCAAGCTGAGAAGCCAAGTGGTTGGTGGCCAGAAGAACGGCCTTCTGTATGTACACTGAAGTGGATAACAGAGCAGTTCTCTATTAGAGAGGCTGAAGGGCTATGGAATAAGGCAGAAATCCTCTACTGCAGCTGAAAGCAAGATAAGGTAAATAGTCTAGCTGTTTTAAACAGGATTCTGTACTTCCAAGCCTGCAAGGTAGAGCAGACTGTGAGGCATTGTATATGCTATATTGTACTTTAGAGGTAGAGCTGCCACCAGCCATGAAATTAATAGCAACTGCATGAGCAAGTGCAAATCAAGACATGAGTTGTACCTAGAAAGAACGGATCCTTTCCCAGAGATTCCTTTGATCTCCTTGAAGTTGGGTTAGACTGCACCAAGTAGTTTGGAAGGCTACATAAAACCATTCCAGGCTATGCAAAAGAAATCAACCCCAGTTTCCAACTGAGCATCTTTATTCAAAAACCAAGCAGAAAGATTCAGTAATCGCCTGTGGCTTTTAAAATAAAACTAAAAACAGGGATGATGAACTAAGAATATACTTATCAGGTACCTGAACCCAAAGAATAACTCATCAAAGCAGCTTGCAAACACTAGGAGGGAAAAGACCCACCTGGGGCTTTGCAGAAGGCAAAAATCTAGTTTTGAATAAGTACTTTGAAGGCGGCAGGATTTCACAAGGTATTTCTGTGGAGGGCAAGAAACCCACAGAGAACCTGGAAATTCAAACTGATCAGTCAATAGCCTATAATGAGCTGATCATGTAGCCTCCAGGTGCATCATTGGAGTTGGGGGAAATGAAGAGTGTCTAGCAAAACAGATTGATGCTTGGTCATTTCTGAAATTCCTTTTTGGCTGGTGAGGGTTCCAGTAAAGGAGGGGGACCAAAGGCTGCGTTTGTTACACCAGCAAAATAGCTTGGGTGCACCAGCTGAGCACTCCTCCACCACAGCTGTTCCGTGGCAAAGACACCCCGGTGCAACTGCTAAAATGCAGCAGAGTGGTGGGTGGGAGGGGGTAGCTCAATGGAAGAGCACATTTACCGTATCTCCCGGGGTCCCAAACGATCTGGATTTGAGATCACCAACCTGCTTGGCATCTACCTATGGCATCTGTGGATCTTGGGCTATACGTTATCCAAGAGGAAGCTTTGTTTTGTGTCTGTTGGAAATTGGAACACTGCTTTTATAAGGGTTTGGTTAATTCCATTAATTGCTGGTGGGGCACTGCAGCTATTACTTCTGTTATGCATCTGTTTTCGTGATGTCCAATAACTGCTTCCTTTTGGCAGGAGGTCATTAATGCAAAAAAAGTTTATACAGGAACAATTCTTAATATTCACTGATGTATTTAGTCTTTTAAATTATTCATGGAAATTAAAAAATGGAAAGAGAAGTGGATTCACTGTGCCCTTTTGATAACAGAACTATAGGTGGAAAATTCAAATAGATACTTATTTGGAGATTTGGTCCATTAAAAAAAAGTGTATAATTGCTATAAAATTTTATGCATTTCATACAAATGCATGTATATTGTTGTTGTTAGTTGCAAAGTCGTGTCCGACCCATCACGACCCCAT